ACAGCAAGAAAGGGAACACAAGCAGAGGGAGTGGGAGAGGGGGAAGCAGGCTTCCCACTGAGCAGGGAGCCTGACGCGAGGCTTGATCCCAGGACCCTAGGATCATGACCCCAAGCCGAAGGCAGATGCTTAACGACTGAGCCACCCAGGCGCCCCAGAACACACCACTTTAGATAATTAGTAGAGATCCTCTGGCACACAGATGGTGCCACTTTAGAAAACTACCCTGTGACCTCACCACGTCCCTCACTCTATAAAAACTGGGGAATAAGGTCCAGACTTGGCAGACAACAGGGGTAGAGAGTAGCTGTGTACTGCCTGGATCATCCATCTGCCCAATTCCCCCACCAGTAAATTTACCTAAATAAAATGGTGTGGAGTGTAAATGGTATGGAGTGGTTTGGACTCTTTGTGGTCTCAAAGTGCTTTCTCAGCCTGGAGGATATTTTACTGTCCCTCTTCCACCTTATAAGACAGATATAAACCCCATGGAGACAGAATTTTCACATTTAGAATTTCAGTTTGTACATGTTTCATATTTTCCATGTCTCCCCTAAATCTGCTCATGCTTTCCTCTACCTCTTAGACTTATGGCAAGTAGAGTAAGTATCGTTACTAAACTATTGTTTTAATGTCCTTGTATACTAATTCTATCATCTGTATCATTTGGGGGTCTTTTCTAATTTATTGGTTTTTCTCCTCATTATAGGTCATGTTTTCTGCTTCTCCACATGCTTTGCTAACTTTTGATTGGTTATAAGACATTGCAAGTTTTACCTGGTTGGGTACTGGATATTCTTGTATTCTTTTAAATGTTCTTGAACTTTGTTCTGTGATGCAGTTAAGTTACTTGACAATGAGTTTGATCCTTCAGGCTTGCTTTTAAGTTATGTTTGGTAGGACCAGAGCAGCCTTTAGTTTAGGGCTAAGTTTACCTCACTACCGACACAGTAACTTTCTGGGCACTATACCCAATGTCCAGTATATTACAAGGCTTTTCCTCTGGCTGTGAGAACATGAACTATTCTCCTGGCCCTGTGTGAATGCTAGGGATTATTCTGCCTGCTCCTTTCTGATGGCTCTTTCACCGTCCTTGGTTAAGTATCTTTATAAGCATGTGATTAGTGCTCAGCTGAAGACTTGAAGGGCATCTGCTACAGATCCGCAAAGCCTCTGCGTCCAGCTCTTCGGTCACCAGTAGTCTCCTCCCCTGCAAATCCCAGCTGCGTTGGCCTCCCCAAATTCACAACTGTGTCTTCCCAGTGCAGAGAGACCACTGGTGTCTATTTAGCTTACCTCTCCCTATGGAACCTGGAAGTTGGTTCTACGTAGTAAACTGGATGATCAAAGGGTTCATTTTGTGTCCCTTCTTTTGGGGCTGTCCTGTGTGATTTGTTGTCCAATGTCCAATGTCCATTTTGTACATTCTCTAGTTTTTCTTTTTTTCTTTAAGGTGGGAAAGTAGATTCTGTCCCTATTTGTAATGTAATGCTATAAATAATCCAGAACAACAACAACAACAAAAAAAACGCCCACACCTTCAAATGTCTAAAACCAAGGACAGAAAAGACCCCTCTTCTCTCCTGACAGGGGAAATTTTCCAATAGAAACAGAATCCCATTTTCCTAAACCCATTTGACAACTTTTATGACTACCAAGTGAGAAAGGAACTTTGTTAAAAGAAGATTTCCTAAATGGAGATTTACTGTAAACAAATTCTACTCAATTTACCACAAGTGGTAATTACCTCACATGCCTGACTCACCCTCTATAATTCTCTTACTACGGGCGGTTCTGTCAGATGCTGCAGGAGGAACGCCGTAGCCTTAGTCTTTCCCATTTGCACAGATGATGCTTCTAGCTTTCATAACACAATATGATGTCTCGGAGGCTAAACTGACGGTACGGAGCCTTGCCAAACAGAAGGCTTTATACTGCAAGTGTTGTAAGAAGCAAATGGCTTCCCAAGGAGCATTTGGCTGTACAGAAAAGAGCTCCAAATTATTTCTGAAAGTAAGAGAAGCCCCATAATCCGGCATTTGATGATCCTCCGAGGCCAAGGTGGGAACGCATTTTTCAAGCAAATCCCCCTTTTAACAGAGGCAGAAATGGCAGCACACATGTGAGGTAAGGCCTGTAGGTAGGTTCAAAGAGATCTGGGAAAGTTGATTTTCTTCCATGATCACTTTCAAATGTCTCAGTGGGACATCACCTTAATCGCTGAGGTAAGCTCAGCCCTTGTATTATGTTGTAAAAGTTGAATGGGAACAAATATCAAGAAGGTGCCAGAAGTCCCAGAGCATTTAGGAATCTTCTTGGCTTTCCCTACAATTTTCATTTGCCCAACAATTGACCATTTCTCGTCACAAATTGTTTTCCCAAGCTGGGGTCGAGAGTGCATTGGGTCTAGGGAAAATGTCCTGCCAGGCAGGTAGGGCCAGATTAAAACCCAACTGGGCAGTACCCAAAGGTTGTCTACAGGGTCTCTGTACCTCGCATGACCTTCAGATGCCTTCTTCGTTCCACCCTTCCCCCTCCGTCAAGACTTACCCCAGGCCCAGCCATCTATCTCCATGCTCTATACCAGGGCTACTCAAAGTGCGGTATGTACCAGTCCACAAAGATAAGTAGGGATTGAGGGCAGACACTGGGAAACTCACAGCAATTGACAGAGTAATTTTAAATCAATTTAATGTAATAACAAAAAACTAGCACTTGTATTTTGCACTTTTATTTCATTTTTTCTAGTAATTTATTTTTATATTTTATAAAAGTGTCTATAATAATTTGGAAATTAAAAAATTAAAAGAGACCTGATCCTTCACCACAAATAGCTTGAGAAGCATGGTTTCCCTTTCCCCTTCATTAAATCCAGTGCCAATGTCCAAGAGTACATGGGGGTGTTAGACACGCAGAAAAGTATAGGCTACAGAAGGAAAGGTCAACTGTCCCCAAAACGTGGCCACAGGATCTGCACTGAGTTTTAGCCTCAGGAACTGCTGCTTTGGCTGATTTAGAATAAAGTAGCGTGATATGATCCCACAGATTCCTATTGTTTCAAAAATGAAAGTTCTAAGGTTGTATAAAATCTAGGTAGTAAAGCCCCATACGATGCCCAAATGAAGTTAGCTGTAAGTCATCAGTTGAGGATTAAAACTTGCATATACATATCATTTCAAAAGAAATAAACAAGAGTAAATAGCTAAGCAAAGCAATTAACACTGGGGATAGCAGCTGGACCAAATACCAGGTAGATAGTAAACTGAACAGTGTGAACACTACATAGAAACTTAGAAATGTGTACAAAATATCACCATTGTATTTATTGCAGCAATGTTTATAATGTCAAAAAAAAATAAAACACCAACCCTGTAATTAAGTAAAGGTCCATCAATAAGGAAATGGTTGAACAATTTAGACAATATCCTCACTCAAAAGATTGAGTTAGATCTCTCCTAGTTGACCTGGAGGTATTTCACAGCATTTTGAAAAGTAAAAAGTAAGACACAGAGAAGTATTTGTATATTATGTATCCCAATTTTTAAATGGGGGAGGAGGAGAAAGCTTATCTTTGTGGATACTGAAGGTGAGGTATTATTTTAAAAGATCATTAGAGGATAGAAGTTATGAAGTCTATCCTCTGGCAAGATTAGCTACTTGGTGTTGGGGTGGAAGGTTCAAGCAAGTAATTAGATCAAAGCAAGCCTCTTTCAAAGTCTTTATAATTTCTAACAAAAGCTGCTATACCGTTTATGTAAAATTACAAATATAAGCCTGTGTGTGCCTGGGCATCTCTCTATATGAGTATGTGTGTGTGCATATCTCTCCCTACCTACCTACCTGCCCATGTCTACCTACCTGTCTACCTACTATATCTATCAAGAGCTGTCTGTCTGTCCACCTATCTACAGAGAGCTCTTAAAGATTGGTCACCAAAGTTACGGTGGTTATCTTCCCCAGGCACAGGGGAGAATCCTGGTGATTTTTTTCTCCCTTATATGTTTTTCTCTCGTATGGATGTTTACAACAACCAGGTATTACTTACATAATAAGAAAAGAGCAGCAACGCTGCAACACTCACTTGTATCGTCGACACCACCCTCATTTCCCACCTCCAAGCCCTATGTTTCATTCAGGTCTGGCCCTTCCTCCCTGGTCCTGCACACCAAGCCAGTCCAGGCTCTCACTGTCCCAGGCCCCTGCCTCTGTCTCTCCCCTCTCCAGCCAATCCTCCACATGGATGCCAGGGTGACCTTGACAGAACACCTATCTGTCCATGACACTCCCCCGCCTGCACCTCATCTAGGCTGCTCGGTGCCCTGAGGGGCAGTTCTTGGCCCAGGTGTGCGGTGTCATCTCTGGCACGGTATGGCCCTTCTCGACCGTGCGCACCTCCCTCTGCTCTTCTCCCACACCGTCTGCGCAATGTATGCCCATCCCTGAAGCCGCGCTCCAACACCGTTTCCTTCTGCAACCGCTCCAGCATCTCTCCTGCTCTCCCACAGTGCTCTGTACATACCCTATTAGACCACTGATCATTCTTTTTAATGATTTGTTTTCTCCCTCTTCCTCCCTACGCTATGAACTGCTGGAAGGTAGGACTGTATCTTCAATGTCTTTACCAAATGAGTAAATGAAATCAATGAATGAATGAGTCTGTAAAAGCAAAGCAGTAAATATAAATGCACGACAACCATGCCCATATAAACGAACAAAGGCTGCAAAGTGAGTATTTTAAAGTTCATTTTTTTTCTTTTCCAGCAAAGTGGCTTGAGCCACTTTTTAAATTACTGCCAGAAATTCAGTCAGTGAATAATTTATATTCAAGTTACCAAAAGTTAACTATACTTTAAATCACTATAAAATGAAACAGAAGTCAGAAAGAAAGCCATTTCCCCCTTCTTAAGTAAAATAAGTTCAGTACTGTTCTTCATTCTATGCCAGTTCTAGAAACAGCAACTCTCCCCCATAAAACACAGCCCAGCTGTGTGGCTACTTACTGGAGTTGAGGAGGACCATGGCCTTGACACAGAGATACTCTTTGTGTTGGAGTTTTAACTCACGGAACCTTGAAGTTGTTGCCAAGAGCATGTCGAAGATTTCCAGAATTCCTTCGACGCATTTCCCCTCATCCCTACAAAAGTTCATTTGGAAATTTAAGAAACATGCAGCACTAGGCAACCATCAAAAGTAATAAGGAGTATTTTCTTATTAATCTCAAATTTCATCTTGTACATCCTTTAACAAAATGGTAATGAAAGCACCTCCAAGTGACATGAAATTATTAGAATTATCTTCATACAAAGAGGACAGGGAACTTTCCCTAAATGCCAAAAGCAAACATTTGAATAAATACTATTTAGGCAAAAATGTGCATTGGAAATACACTTCCCTTCCACCTGTTTACCAAATGTTTTCTTTAACGGAATACCATTTCTACTGATTATCTTCGATCTAAACCATTTCAGCCAACCAGCCAGAGTTATGACACATATTGCTAACACGAGACATTCCATGTTCCCATCAGAAGACTCTGAAGTGCTAATGAGGAAGACTGAATGTTTACCAAAGTAAATGCCCTAAGAAGAAACAGTCCTTCACATCTAGGGCTTAACTCACTCCCCAGTGGTCATTTAGAAACTGGTGAGGCAACTAAGAGACATTTAACGTAACTTGAAAAAAAGCTAGTCTGATACACAAAGAAATCACAATTAGAGAAGACAGATTCGAATGAGGAAAGGAAAGTAGAAAGGGAGACATGAACATTTTTGACTTGCCAAAGATTATTTTTAAGCAAAAGTTTTAGACAAACTTTGAACCATATAATCAAAATTCTTTTGAACACTCACAGAAATTAATTTTTATGCATACTTTTGAAGGAAATTACTTGAACTGTATTTAGAAAATACCAGCTTCAATTCACTCCAGCCAGACACACATTATTCTGCCTCACTGCTCCCCCAAAAAACTTCTATTGTCATCAGTCGTAGTCCTTGGAAGCCCTTGACAAGCAGTTAGATGATTTTGCCATGAAACTCATTTGTGTCTCAACACCTGCAGCGCAGGATGAAGGAGAGCCTGGCAGCAGTGGGCGTCTGCGAGTTTCATCTTTAGTCTCCCCCGCAGTCTCTGAAGGGGACCTGAGATCTTTAGAGAACTGGCTGCTCCCCTCCTTCCTTCCTCCAACCCCAAGCCAGGACATTTCTAGTGATGGTGGCGGCTGGGGAAAGGGTCTCTGTGGAACTCAGAGGACACCAGTGGGAATCACGATGCTGGTGCAGCCTTTCCCACCGGGTTCTCTGTGAGGGCGGCAGCTTGCCAGGACCCTGCGTCCCATAGCATTCAACACCCCCCTCCCAGACTCACCTACACAAAGCTACCAGCAAGAAAACTGTGAGTTCCAAACAAACATGGTAACTTCTGCAACCACCTGAGACTCTGAAAATTGCACAGGGTAAGTGATAAAACACCGATGCCCCCTAAAAGTCACTCACAGAGAAAGGCTACCTTGGAGAATCAGAGCCCTGGGCAAGGGGTGCCAAAACCCGCAGGAAACCGCCAACCTTCCTCAAGTCCTATCCTTCGCACCTCCTCTGCTCCAGGCTGTCCCAGGCAGCCTGTTGCAAGTGCCCAGCAAGGACAACACATGCTGCGCGCATAGCAGATGCACAAGAAATACCTGTGCACCAAATGCCCCTCATGCTGCATAATCAAATCACTGTGCTTGGGGACAATTAATTACTGAAAATTGTCATTGTTGGGCTTGAGGACATCTGACACCGAGAAAAGCTGGTTCTAAAATATCTTGGGGTTGGGGGGGGGGCACCTGGCTGACTCAATCTGTAGAGTATGCGACTCTTGATCTCAGGGCTGTAAGTCTGAGCCCCACAGTGGGTACAGAGATTACTTAAAAATAAAATCTTAAAATAAATAAAATAAAGTCTCTCTGGGGACAAAAATCAAAAGCCCACCAAGTCCTGCATTGACTGTTTAATAGTTTGGCTCTTTACTTTTCTGTGAGACTCAGTCAGAGGTGGGGTCACAAACATGCAGGTGCACATGTGCACGCACACACCCTGCTCCCCAGATAGTGTAAGAGGATTCATCTGAAATCAACCCTATCTTGCAGAGGTTGCCACTTGTACCTAAAAACACATCCCTGCGTATTGAAATTAGTATCATTTCCTCATTGAAATGCATGCCATTTTAAATGTAAATTCATATTTCAAAAATGTAGGGAGAGTTTATATTCTAGGGCATCCTAAGCCCTGAGAAATGCTATAACTCGCAACAATCAGAACATGTGTACCTCATGGAAAAGTGAATCGCTAAACTAATTCTAAAGAACGAAGTCTGATGGCTTTTACCAGCAGGTGTGATAGCCAACCATTTCATTCAAGGGTTGGCATGGTTAGAATATTTTTACTCACTTCAAAGCCTGGAGAAACCAAATATTTTTTTTAGGAAATAAATGAAAAATATAGGAAATAAGGTACAATACCTCATAAATGACACCCTAATAAAGTTCTGCCTGAAAAGAGTTATACAGAGGAAGGACTTTTAAATAACACATTAATGAGATCTATAACACTTATTTCATAACTATGGAATGAAACTGAATTAGGATAAGATTAAAAGATTTTAATTAAAGAGAGAGGACATATGATTTGAATGTTAAAATACCGAAACAATCTATAATCAAATGAACCCACTCCAAGAAGCTTACTTTTGCACAGCATTTGTCCATAAACTACGGCTAAGCAAAAATAAAAATAGTAAGTACATGTGGAATGTCTTATTATGTGATAACCACTCCTTTATAAAAGGAAAAGCTTCTGTTTGATACCAAGGACAAAATGTTGAATGAGTGGACACTGCTTTGGGTGCGCTATTTTGTACCTACATACATATCCACTAGCTGCAAACACGTGGGCGTAGGTAGACCACAGTTCACTTCCGGTGGGGGAGGGGGACAGCAGGGTGTGGGGGCTCCAGGCTTAACATGCGGAGAGGACAAATATTAAACTGATGTGAAAATTACCTACATACAAAAAGGGAAATGAAAATTTTAAAGTCAAAATTCTTTGGGTATCTTGAAATTCAATGCACAAATAACTAACGTGAAAGCAAACTCAGCACATTTACAATACGATTCCAAGGAATTCCATAAATGTCCACAATGGGGTCCACGCCCAGATCCAAACTCCCTCTGATTTTTTAATATGTAACATTAGACAGTTTCCTCTTGACACCAAGGACACAACATGTCTTAGCATATATGATTTTTTTAAGCGAGCAGAAGCCCAGATTCTGTGGTAGATCTCCACATGAATTTGTAACTCCAGTGATTACTGACAGAACCACCTTGTTTAGAAATAAGCTGAGGTAACCGGGTTTTCCTCTCGTCCTGAGTAGGTTCAAGTCTTCTCGCCACAGAAGCCTCAACAAGAATGAGGAACAACAGCAATTATTGTCTCAGGCTGTACAAGTGAGCTAGTTTGGTTGTACTCACAGCTTGTATGGTCACACCACCACTGGAAGGAACACTGATAGGACAATCTGCCAAAAGACAGCGATTTTCAAGTACTGTGCAAGTTATTTATTCGTGTTGCAGAAAAATCTCATAATACTTCTTTATGATGTGTCATCTCTGACTTTTTGAATAAAGAACACTTAGAGCATTTTTGAATAGGCAACCCCTCCAGAAACACGGGTTTACATAAAACAATACTCATCTGGTTCATACATGCATGAAGGAACTGAACTATCTTAGACTTGAAATTCTAGACATCACAAAGTTTATGTGTTGGCAATACTAGAGATTGCGACAAAAAATAACCATGATAGGCACTATCAAAAATGCCAGCTCCATGTGAAGGCATTTACAATTCCAGAGACTCCTCTCCTATACTCAGAAATACTAGATTTGTATGCCATACAACACGATACTGTCAAATATTTATAAAAAGCAATGTGAGGGGAGTCTGGGTGGCTCAGTTAAGCATCCAACTCTTGATTTTGGCTCAGGTCGTGATCTCAGAATCATGGGATCAGGCCTCACGTCAGGCTCCACACTCAGCATGGAGTCTCCTTGTCCCTCTCCCTCTGCTCCTCCCCCTGCTCTCTCTCTCAAATAAATAAATAAAATCTTTAAAAAGTACTGTGAGTCTATTAAAATAATTTGTAAGAAAAATTACTTTTTTTTTCTTCTATTACTTAACCAAAAGGTAGGCCTAAAATTTGTCCAGGATGTGTCTCCATTTACAGTAACTTACACTTACAGGAATTAAAGAACCCAAACAAAGAGGAGAGTTAATTCTACGGAAAACCAGTCACTGAACACAAACATTAAATGTGACATCAATTTAGAAATCAAGACAAAAAGTAAAATAACTTAATCCCAGTGTCTGCAAACATAATGACTAATCAAGGGATGAAACTTCTTCCTAGCACTAACTTCTAGGAGAATTATATGTGTATATTTGTGTGGGTGTGGCTTCATTTGAACACCAAGTGGAACACCATGTCCTGTTATACAGGTAACTACTGTTATATTTAAGAACATGGACTTCACAGCCAGCCCTAATGTCCAGCTCCAGCATTTACTACTCTGTAACTGCCGGCAAATTACCTAACCCTCCCCCCATTTCCATATCTGAAGAATAGGGATAAAAATGGCGCTTACTCATAAAGAGCTGTTAAGAAAATGAAATGAATTAACACAGCAAGTGTGTAAGATGGTGCCTAGCATATACAAGCCAATAGCTTGGCTATTTTGATTGCTACTGAAGGGTCTGGATTTCCAGAACCCTCTTCCATGGTTCAACACCTGGGCTTGCTCCTGCCACAGCCCAAGCTCCAGCTCTTGCCAAAGGCTCTGTTCTCCACCAAAACACCTCCGTTACTTAGAACAGTGCTCTTTGTCAATGTTGTCATCCAGGACAACAGGCAGAATGGGTGCTAAAATCTTGGGGGTATCACTTTTTATCTGTGTAATATGTGCACAGGGGTCTTCTGATGATCCAAGGAAGTAATACCAAGGGTTGGGCGCTCTCCATTCATATAATGGCATCCTTCTACTCTGTGCACAGAGTGCAATGTGACTGAACATTCTACTTTAGAACGGTTTCAAAATAAGGAATGTGGAAATCAATTTCCATCGAGATTTTCAACCTGCTCAAATATATAACAAGAAAGTGTTCTATTTTTGGTACTAAAATTTTGAGTGTTGTATATTCTAGCTCTTCCTCCATGAAGAGTTCACCTGAATCAATTAAAAATGGGTTCCTTTTCTGTGCCATCTTTAAAAGGAAACAAAATGTAATCGAGTGATGGCATTGGTACTATCCTTCCCCAATTTCCATTACCTTTCATTTGGTTTTAATAACCATTCTTTCCACTGCTATTGTCAACAATGCTATAGAGTATATGCAATTAGAGTCAAAGCACATTAAAAGAAACTTTGCAGATTTGTAAGAATTCTATCACCTGTCTAGACAGAGATAGACACGGTCCCTGTAAGTGGAAACCAAACAGCAGGGCAATTTAAAATTATAAACTGAAAATGGAATTTTTAATGCAGAAAAATCTAAGTTGACTTGTACAGTTAGTAGCCACATATTTTGCAAGATATGGGCCCTGCTATGGCCTGGCCTGTAAATGCGGCCCCACCACAGGTCAGAATGAGTCACAGGACACTGAATCCTAGGACCCATGCTCTCCTTCTCTGGTTCTTGACCTGGGGTAAGAGTTCATGACATTATCATCCTCTTAACTGCCCTTTTAGGTGTGAGATTTTAATTGTGGCACCCAGGACTCAAACAGGTCAGAGAAGAAATACGATGCATTTTTTTCTCACCTGTCCAGAACGAGGTCTGGAGCAAAGATGAGCTTGCCCGGGTGATCAATGGAACGCCACATCAGCCCCACCATCAGCACCTCCATCCAGCAGCTCTCCAAGAGGCGCACTTGGTCGTAGAGACTGAGCTCCACAAAACCTAGGGAAAGCAAGAGGCTGTGAGACGTATCCACTCTGCTCCTCAACTCCCTGTTTCTTCTGTGAAAACAGAAGAGCAAGTTTTAACAAGCTATGAAAACACAAGCAATATAGGGAAACACTCAATATTTTAAAGATGTGGTTAAATGCTGACCTAAGGAAGGAAATTTTGAACTCAGAGTATGCAACTCACAATGTCCAGCCTTGGATGCCTTCTAGAGATGAATATATTCCTTTTAAGGTTTATAAATGACTATTAACTTGGGCTTACAGTACCCCAGACAAATGCTAGGGAAGAACAGAAAGCTAGAACAGATCATTTTTAGTCATATTTTAAAAATTCCTCTGCACTGCTGAGAAAGATAATAGGCGGCTGCCAGCCAGAGGCTGCCTGTCTGGCCCGGTTCACAAGAGGGGCTGGGAGGGGTGGAGGGATGGGACGGGGGGCTGGGGAGTATGGGACATGCAGAGAGAACAGCACCAGCCCCCTGCAGAAAGTCAAGGCTTCAAACGAAAGATATCTCTGATTGCTTAAAATTTCAGTGTTAGAATCATTCTTCTGAGCAGAAGCACTGTCTCTAGGCTATTCTATCCTGAAAAGCAAATGTAAGAATCGAAGCAGGTCCCAATAGCCTGATAGCCTAACAGCATGGATTGGTCCAAAAATCGGAAAGAAACAGGCAATCTCTAGGGAGGTGAGCACTTTAAAAGCAAAGCAGAGATCACTGGCGCTTCCTCCACAAACCACGATAAAAAGAGAAGGCAGTGTAATATAAAAACTAACCAAACACATGGCCCAGGAGTGCAGTGGACTCCGGTTACGATCCCGGCTCAGCCCCATCCTAGCTACTCAGTCTCCTTTTAAGTCGATTATCTTCCAGAAAAAATGGGAGTAACAAGGCCTACTCTCTGAGAAAGCCCTGCAGGCAGCCTCTCTCAGCGTCCCCATTCTACAGATGAGGAGACCACGGCACAGGAAGCACATGAATGTGAGCAATATAATGCCGACATGCACAAAGGAGAACTGAATGGAGGGAGTCATGAAGGGAAAGATGGCTCAGGCCTTCTCCAAAGTCACACCCTGTTCTAACACTGTACGTTCCAATCTCCCTTGCAGTTACAGACAATAAGCCTGCCCACAGAAGATTAGGCTTCTTATATTTGCAGCTATCCAACAAGGTCAAGGCTAGGTGATATTTTACCTTTTTTTTTTTTAATTTTGAAAAATGACTACCTGCCGAGAGGAAAGAAAATCACACCTTTAGACGATGCCTAAATTTTCTGAAAATCTGTTTAAAACACCAGGCTTAAAGAAGGATTAATGCAGCTGAAGAATTCAGTTTTGTTATGGCACAAAGAAGCTGCATGGCCTTCAGCGATCATTACTTTCACCACCACTCTCCACATGGCGTCCTGAACACCAGTGTTTGGTGTACATGTAGCACAACAGCTAGAGGAAGATGCATCAGTATTGTCTCCTATGAAAAGAGCAGAGGAAATAACATGATTCTGGCTAAGGTGAAGATCTAGACTATCAAAACAAAACTAGAAACCAGAAGATCCGCAGGAAGCTCAGAAGGAATGGGCCTAAGCCAATGAATGACCCAAGAGATACTATTACACCAGGCCTGGGGTCCCACAGCTCTTCACCCCCAACTCCTCCTCACCCAGCTTCTCAGCAGCTTCCAGGCTTTATTTATACTTCGTCTAAAGCGGTTGCAGCCTCCAGCCCATGGGAACTGTCCCTAGTGGTTTAGAACCTGGAGAGAGACCTCATTTCTTAGATGACCGTAAACATGCACATGGAGAAACCCTTTCAGGGGGATGGGCTGCTTGCCATTCTGCGTTAGAATTCTAGATTCACTGTCACAGAAACACCGATTCAAATGGTAACAAGGTGGTAATTTTAGCACAATGCAGTATTTCAGGTATATATTACAAACTGGCCTGACCCTAGAATTTCTTGCCCAAATGGTCACTTTTGGCCCACTTCCAGAGTCTGGGTGGGTTTTTTCTTGGGTCTACTCTCTCAGACCACATCTCGGCATGAGAGGTGTCCAACAGGCTAGTGTGCATAGAAGATGTGGCCACGGAGGACAGGGTGTGGACAAGGCCCTGTGGGATGGTTCTGGGGTGGGAAAAGAAGAGAGGTAGCCATGGAAGCAGTGTCACCATATACCATTCTTCTTGCACTACCATGTCCGGTAGAGAACTCAGAGGAGTCCAAGAACTCTAAATTGGAGCCAGACCTTCCAAGACATGCTGAAGGCATTTATGTCAAGATAGTAAGAAAGAACATATTTCATTTAAAGATTATAAATCAAGCTGTCAAATTGTTACACACCCAGACATCATTTGTGGACCTCCATTTTGTACTCTTGCCCTGTAAATGTTAGGGGCAGGCCTTTCTACCATAAATGAAAAGTTAAGATCCAGAAAGCCTTACCTGGAATTTTCTTGGCCCAGCCTATCATGTGCACCAGCTCCTTGTCGGCCAGCTTGGTCAGGGACATCATCATGGAGGCCTCGGTGAAGGGCGTGCTGGGGCGGCTCACGAGCACGTGGGGCGGCTCCGCCTCCAGTAGCGTGAGCACCAGCTGCTCCGGGCTCAGGGCGCTCAGCAGCAGCTCCTTCACTCGGGTCACGTGTCCACCATTTTTCTTGGTTTTGCTCAGGCAGTGCAGCTGCTCATCCGAACTTTTCTGCCTTCGCATAACACGGTACCCACACCTTTCTCTCCGGGAGCCTAAACCAAAGAGATAACACAGTACTTCCCCGTGGCTTCCCCAACCCAGCGTTCAAGTTCCCTGAGTCTCCAGGGCAAGGGTGAGGTAATGACCTGAGTCTATCCTCACAGTGTGTCTGCCAACAGAAGCCTAACTTATTTCCTGGAACCTGTGGGGCAAGTACCAAAGATTATTACATTTGCGTCTACTTTAACAAAATAAAAAATATGACTTTTTAGGGACAGTAGCCCAAATGAACTTAAGGACTCCATTTCAGGATCACCTATGGATACTAAATCTATTTTCTTTTAAAGAGTGCTGACATACCTCCGTTTCCAAACCACAGAATTAGGAATTTTCTTCAGACAAAACACGGGGAAAAGTTAGGAACCGAACATTGATATTTACAAATAGTTATCAAATAATATACTCTTAAAATACATTCTTAAAATATTTATGTGCATGTGTGTTTACACATACACATATGTATTCTTTTTACATATTTGTACAAATAAATACATTTCAAGTAAATTTTTTAAAAATCTGAAAAATATAGAAGAGTACAAATTTTGGCATAAATTCTTTCAGTTTTAATGCTTTTTACTTTTCCATATTTCATATGTGAAATTTGGATCAGAGTATATATACACTATTTTTAACTTTTTTCTTATTATTAAAAATGTGTCATCATACAATTTAAAAATCTATGCATTCTGTTTTATGAAGATAGCATCACTTTATCTAGTGTCCCCTGTCAATGGAAATCTAGGTTAGTCCTAATTTCTTTGCTAGTATTCATAGTACAGTGAAAATGCATCTTTGTACACACATCTAATTCATTCCCTAAAATAAATTCAAGAAGTCAAGTTGCTGAACCAAGGCATATACACACTTAAAATTTTGACACATATTAATAGGTTACCCTCTAAAACTATTTTAAAATTTATAATACAAACAATACTTTAAGGGGCTTATTTTCTCATAACACCATTGGGCAATAAAAGTCATTTCTAATCTCTGCTAATCTGACAAGTGACTAAACAATCTCATTTTACTTTGTATTCTTTTAATTAGCAGCAAGGTTGACTAATATAATTGCCATATTTTGTATTTCTTTTACTTGTATATTGCCTGTTTATTTCTTTTGCCCTTTGCCTGCCTAATAAACTATAAGGTTTATCTAGTAACTATAGATAACTTTTATTATGTGCCATATTTGTCTTATTATATATCTTTTAACTTTACTCATGGTATCTATTGTCCTAAGAAGGTTTAGTACACAAACTTGTCTTTTGTTTCACATCAAGATTATACAAATATTTTCTTGTATTTTTTTAAGATTTTATTTATTTATTTGAGAGAGAATGAGAGACAGAGAGCACAAGAGGGAAGAGGGTCAGAGGGAGAAGCAGACCCCAGACCCCCCCACCCTTGAGCAGGGAGCCTGATGCAGAACTCGATCCCGGGACTCCAGGATCATGACCTGAGCCGAAGGCAGTCGCTTAACCAACTGAGCCACCCAGGTGCCGTTTTCTTATATCTTCTTTAAGCACTTTTGTGGCTCAAATCTATTTGGAATTTTATGTGTGTTTGTATCATGTCATATTAATATTTCATGTTATGTTCTTCAAATGGATGTATCATTTTCCCAGTAGCATTTATTGCACAAGCTTTTGCCACTGATTTTTATACAATGCCTTGTCATTTAATAAATATATATAAAAGTATCTTCTTCTGGGGGCACCTGGGTGGCTCAGTCAGTTAAGTGTCCAACTCTTGATCTTAGCTCAGGTCTTGATCTCAGGGTGGTGAGTTCAAGTTCTGTGCTGAAGAAGTATCTTCTTCTGGATTTTATCCTGTTTCATATATATATACATATATATATATATATGCGTGTATGTGTATATATATATAAATAATATATATATATTTTTTACACTCCTGTGCTGGTATCAATATGTTTTAGTTCCTGTAGGTTTATGGGTCAGAAACGCAATGGGATAATGTCTTTAAGATGGTGTGGGGAGGGGCGCCTGGGTGGTTCAGTCGGTTAAGCAACTGCCTTCGGCTCAGGTCATGATCCCAGAATCCTGGGATCGAGCCCCGCATCAAGTTCCCTGCTCAGCAGAAAGCCTGCTTCTCCCTTTCCCTCTGCCTGCCCCTCTGCCTACCTGTGCTGTCTGCCTCTCTGTCAAATAAATAAAAAATATCTTTAAAAAAAAAAAAAGATGGTGTGGGGAGGGAGAAACCTTTAATTTAGAATTATATTCCCAGCTAAACTATCATTCAAGAGTGAGGATAAATTAAAGTTAAGCAAAGATTAAAAAGATGTATCACTCACAGCCCTTTTGAAATAACTACTGTGTTATCTGGAATGGAGAAAAATGAACCCAAGAGAAGCAATGAAATTCAAGATGCAATAGGCAAGAAAATAAATTGGTAAACATGAGAGGAAACCTAATAAACACAGAATGAATAAAATAATAATTAATTTTTGGAGGTACAGAAATAAAGTAGAACCAAATACTGGATAATAACAAGATGAGAGGGGAATAATTTTGGCTGGAACTTTCTAAGATTCTTTATTTGGAAAGAGAAATATCTATTAGAGTGGCATGAATTCTCAAATTAATCAAGAATGCGTGCTAAAACAGAACTGTCACTAAAAGAATTGAAACAGAATGTATGACTTCCAAACTAGCAGAAGAGGTAAAATAAAACAAGAAAATGGGATCAATTCCAAAAAGGAAAAAAGAAAATATATGATGAAATTGTTAAAATCCTAAAATAAGATGACAGAAATGAATTCAGATATCAGTGATCACAATAAACATAAAGACTAGATTTATCGATTAAGAGCAACTCTGAGATCACATTTTTTTAGCTAGACATTGACTAGTTGTAAGGGATTCATCTAACACATAGAAAACTGAAAATAAAGGGATAGAAAAAGATTAACAGGCAAAAATTAACCAAATAAATCAGTTATGCTACCAATATCAGACAATATAAACTTTAAAAGGCATAAATCATTAAGACCTCATCAGATTATAAAAGGAAGATAATTCTAAACCCATAAACTCAAAACAACAAAAGAAGAAAACACAACCTACAAACATAACAGCAAAAAGTGACTAAAAGAAAAAGATAAATTGACAAATACATTATTATAATGCATATTTTTTAAAAGATTTTATTTATTTATTTGACAGAGAGAGACATAGCGAGAGAGGGAACACAAGTAGGGGGAGTGGGAGAGGGAGAAGCAGGCTTCCCGCTGAGCAGGGAGCCTGATGCAGGGCTCGATCCCAGGACCCTGGGATCATGACCTGAGCCAAAGGCAGATGCTTAACACCTGAGCCACCCAGGTGCTGCTATAATGCATATTTCAATGTATCTTTCTCAGCAACTGACAGAACAAACAACTGGGGGAAAAGGCAGAATACAGAACATTGGAATTGTACAATTCACAAGCTTGAGCTATAAAAACTCAGGGAATTTGCAAAAATTATCACATACTAGTTTATGAATAAAATTTTAACAAAAATTGATATCATATAGACCATATTCTTTGATCACAAAAAATAACAAAAATATATAACTTCCAAACCCTTATAAAGTTTAGCACAAAAATACTCCTAAAAATCCCTTGGTTAAAGACAAAAATACAAAATGAAAATTAAGAAAGACATAAGTCAGGATGTCATTAGCATGGGTAAAACTTTTATATGCATCCCCCCAAAAAAACCTCAAAGTTATATATGCAAAATGCCTACTTTCTATAGTCCTACCATTATGTTTGTTCACTAAATTCAGTTGTCCACATTTTAAAAAAGAAATATTAGTTAGGAAGTCTGATTACATTTAAATTACTTGCTCCCAAGAAAATTTATCTAAATTTCTTCCCATCCTTGTCTTATCAAAGTAGAAGGAAGGGCTCTATCTATCTAGAGATTATTGAATCAAACTGTTTACTAAAAGAACTAAAAGCCTAAAATACAATAACCTTTATTAGTAATCAGATAGAGAGCTATAGATATTATTTAAGATCAGTTAAACCCCCAAGGTCAAATGGAATAAAATGTTTGGTTTAAGAAAGCACCTTTCTGATCACACATCTCCTTTTTGTAGAGTATACGAGGAAAAAGAGTTTCCAAAACATGTTTACATACAAAGAGAAAGGTTTTGAATCCATGCAAACTTGTTTGACCAACTTTCACTTACAAAGCCCTATATACTGGGCCCTGAGTCCTAGGGATTCTAAGATCAATAACATAAAGCCCTTGGCAGGGATCTCACTGTTTTCTACCAAGGACATTTCTAGTGTCATGGCTTTCCCACTGCAATCTCTACAGTCCACCGGGTGTGCCTCTGAGCAAGCCTGATGAGGAACTCTACCAAGCAGGAGTGCTCCATATGAGAAAGTGGTAAACAGCCCCTGAGAAAAGAGGATGATGGTAATGGTGATGACAATGACAAAAACAATGGTCATAATGGTAAATGATAACAATGAGAGCTAACACCTACTGGAGAAGCTTCTACATGTCAAACACTGTGTATTGTATTTAGATTATTTCATTCTGAAAACTGCCCTAGAGGACAGGTGCTATTATCATCTCCATGATACAGGCTCAAGAGCGCTCCAAATAACCTGTCCAGGGGCAGCAAAGCTAGAAAATAGTGAAGGCAGCATATAAACTCAAGCAGTTGTCTGAATCCACAGCTGGTGCTTTTACTACTTTATACCACCTCCCTATCAAGTCCCTTTCATGTGTATATATGGCAGATGAATCAAGAGATGGCATCTGAAAGATGTGGATTTATTCTTCCAACACAGAAAAACAGACCAAACATGTGGCTATTCTGATTGTTTTCCTGGCTATTTATGTTTCAGCATATCCTTATAATGAAGACTTACCCTCAAGTTAGTCTGGGTGGGTATCTTCCCACCATTTAAACAACCATATTAATATTTCCATAGAAAGACAAGATTGGTGCAGAAGAAAAAGGTGATAACAGAAGAGACATAATTTCTAAAGAGGGGAGTGAAATGGTGTAGGAGGATCCAGGAGGCAGATAGGTTCCTAATCTTCCAAGACTGGAGAGAAGGAAGAAGATGGATGGAGGGTTTATTGAGAGGGCAGACAGGAGAGTGCTGGGAAAGGAGGGAGGCATAATTAAGAAAATTCACTCCTGGGGTGCCTGGGTGGCTCAGTCGTTAAGTGTCTGCCTTCAGCTCAGGTCATGATCCCAGGGTCCTGGGATCGAGCCCCACTTTGGGCTCCCTGCTCTGCAGGAAGCCTGCTTCTCCCTCTCCCACTTCCCCTGCTTGTGTTCCCTCTCTTGCTGTCTCTCTCTCTGTCAAATAAATAAATAAATAAAAATCTTAAAAAAGAAAGAAAGAAAGAAAATTCACTCCTAACGGTCTTTCTCTTGATCAGTAAAGGGCTAAATACCCAAATGTTTGCATATCAACCCATCTCATTCCTTTTGCAATCTCCAAAGATAATAAAATATTTTTTTCTTAGACAGCCCTACCCAATTTCTTTTTGGCCAAATTCAATGACCCTTTCTCTTGTTCTCTTTTCCATGAAATATTTTTTTCCAGTTTTATTGAGAAATAATTGCCATATATCACTGTGTAAGTTTAAGGTGTAGAGCATAATGGTTTGGTTTATGTATACCGTGAAGTGATTACTACAGTAAGTTCAGTTAGCATCCATCATCTCACACAGATAAATAAAGAGAGGAAGGAAGGAAGGAAGGGAAGGAAGAAAAGGAAGGAAGGAAAGAAAGAAAGGAAGGAAAGAAGAAAGAAAGAAAAAGAAAGAAAGAAAGTTTTTTCTTTCAGAACTCTTAGGATTTACTCTTAATAGCTTTCATACATACACAGCAGTGTTAATTACAGTCATCATGCTGTACGTTCCATTGCTAGTACTTACTTATCTCGTAACTGGAAGTTTGTACCCTTGCCCACTTTTCCCCAATTCCCTCTCCCCCCACACCCTGCCTCTGGTAACCACAAATCTGATATCTTTTTCTAGGAGTTTGGGGGTTTTTTTTGTTTTTTTTTTTTTTAGATTCCAAATGTAAGTGAGATCATACAGTATGTGTCTTTCTCTGACTTACTTCACTTAGCATAATACCCTCAGGGTCCATCCATGTTGTCATAGACGAAAGGATTTCTTGTGTGTGTGTTTTTTTTAATGGCTGGATAACGTTCCAATTTTACACACACACACACACACACACACACACACACACACACCAACTTCTTTATCCATTCACCTGTCAATGGACACTTAGGTTGTTCCCATGCCTTGGCTACTATAAATAATGCTGCTATGAACATGGGGGCGCAGATATCTTTCTGAGTGAGTGTCACGAAAGATTGTTTTTAACTACATCTCTATACTCTGCCTGGACAAGACTGTATTGCATTAAAACTCCTCATAATTTATATGAGCTTTTCAAAGAGGGAGAGAGAAAGGAAGGAAAACTAAAATTTAGTGCCAAACACTGTGCTAGGTTTTTACGTGTTTTTTTCACATGCATTCCTCACAAAACCCCATGAAACAGATACCTTCTTTTCAGAGATAAGAAAACCAAGGGTCAGGGGCGCCTGGGTGGCTCAGTCAGTTAAACATCTGACTCTTGATTTTGGCTCAAGTCAAGATCTTAGGGTCGTGGGGCGCCTGGGGGGCTCAGTCGTTAAGCGTCTGCCTTCGGCTCAGGTCAGGGTCCCAGGGTCATGGGATCGAGCCCCGCATCGGGCTCCCTGCTCAGCGGGAAGCCTGCCTCTCCCTCTCCCACTCCCCCTGCTTGTGTTCCCTCTCTCGCTGTCTCTGTGTGTCAACAAACAAACGAACAAACAAAAAAAAACCTTAACAAAAATAAAGAAAGAAAGAAAACCGAGGGCCAGGAAGGTTAAGTTTGAGCATAGTCACGGTTCGCAGGAAGTAATGAGACAAAAAAACGAGCTTCAGTCTTTGGGAGTCCAGTCCTCTTGTTCTTCCCGCCACACACACCGCCCCCTGCAGGCGGGTTATGCAGGTGCTCCTGCCCTGGTCCCGACAATAACAGCGTTCTTATCCTAAGACTAAATCGTAAATCACTTTTTAAAAAATACACTCACCTTAAAATATTAACTTAAAATATGAAACACTGATTTGCAATCTTTTGTCAAAGGGCCAAGGCTTTCTCTTTCAGTACCTCCACCAATTAAATCACAAGTGACTTTTCTACATAGGCCACGTCCGTGATACACTGTCTCTGAATTTTCAATTTCAGCTTCCTTAAAACAAAGCAAGAGCTTAGGCACTCATAAAGCAATCCAAATTCAGAATTTTTCTAGGTTTATGACCCCTCCCCCCCATCTCCCTCATATCTGATTCCATAGCTACCAGTCCTTTACAGTTAATGCAAGCACTACACCCAACATGGGGCTTAACTCACAACCCCAAGATGAAGAGTCGACTGAGCCAGCCAGGTGCCCCTCCTGTACAGTTTTATCCAAAGCTTTCACAGAAATGATTGTCTTTCCCTACTCATATTTCATATGCTTGCATAAATTCTAATTAAATTATATAATTTGACAGTTACAATGAGTAGAGGTTTTGGAAGAAGCCCACTGGTTACTGATAAGGGTATAACTGAAGTGGGGGGGGGGAGCAGAAATGCTCAAATGTTTTAGAGAGTTACCAGTACACACTGGGAGGTCATGGGCATTGGCAGGGTATTTTACAAAGAAAACAGAAAACATCAGTGATTCTAGAGGACTTCTGTTATACTATGATATAGCTGGATGAGATGTCTTATCTATTATATACATTTTTTACAAAGGAAAGAGAGGGGCACCTGGGTGGCTCAGTGGTTCAGTGTCTGCCTTCGGCTCAGGTCATGATTCCAGGGTCCTGGGATCGAGCCCCGCTCGGCAGGAGGCCTGCTTCTCCCTCTCCCACCCCCCCTGCTTGTGTTCCCTCTCTCACTGTGTCTCTGTCAAATAAATAAATAAAATCTTTAAAAAAGAGAGAGAGAATGTTCAAAAGGCAGAGCTCCTAAGAGACTGTCCGAGAGAAAAGAGACTCTTGTTTTAAATTTTTCAAATAGTTACAAAGAGATAAATTACAACTAACCACAGGCAAAATATTGACTATAGCAGAGTAACGGGAAAAGTACATGCAGAGCTGACGTGAGTGCGCACAAACCGGCAACTGCGTACAGACAAATGAGTCAAAAGTTAGCCAGGTGGGGAGAGCAGGATGTAGGCATTCTTGTCAGCTGTTATTCTAATGTGCCCATTTTTCTTTGTTTTTCATGGGTGTATGCACATATGTGTGGATACACACACATATGTATATGAAGACATACCATTGTAACACAGAATCTATGTTCTATGTGCTTTCCATAGTTCCATCATGTTTCTGACTCTACAGATCTTCTCTAGAAAGCTAATGGAGGATGGATAGGCATGAGTCTTTCCGATAGCTATCCAAGTAACCCACCAGATAGTCTACTTTCTTGCCACAGCTTTCACTGTGAACATTTACCAGAACTTTATGCTTAGACTTCTCAAGGCCTCAGGCAGATGGTCATCCAACCCAGTTGCGTACTTCAGTGGCTAGAGTTCTCAAATTCACGCAGCAGCCTATTGTGTTGTCAGCCCACTTGAATCGTAGAAAGATCTTCCCTATATTGGGCCAAGACGTGCCTCCCGTAACCTGTTCACCTCAGCTCTGTCCTCCGCAGCTACAGGGAATAAGTCAATGCCCCCTCCAATGGAACAGAATACACATACTTGAGGATAATGACCAAGTCCTAAATCTCCTCTCACATAGGCTACCTGTCCACAGTCCCTCCGCCTGTCCTGAGAGAGCTGTCAGCATGGCCCACACATGGTGAAAGCGGAAGCGAAAACTCACCACACTTCACCATCCCCACTTCATAGCACTTCCGAAGTCGGCAGGCCTGGCAGCTTTTGCGCCGATTCTTATCTATCGTACACTGATTTGTAGCTGGGCAAATGTAATCATTATGTCCTAGAGCAGGGGGGAAAAAAAAAAAAGGCAGGCTATTATTACAATATTTTGATTAAATATCTTCCCGGTCAACAACACTGATAATGCTACTCAGCTGAGAGGTAGGCAACATCTTCTTAATGACAGGTACGGGTACAAAGGTCAAAGTTCGGCCTCCTCAGTGCTTTGTTGGTGAGTCAAGAAAACCTAGGAATATTTCCATATCTTACTCTTTGACTAATAGGCTATTCTCCACATGTTCTTCGAATTCTCAAGACATACATTAGAAACATTCTCCTTTGGACATGGAAAGTGAGACAGTCGCCTGAAATTGGTGCTGCAAATCACAGAATCTCCTCAAGAATAGGACTTGTGCATCAGTCACCAAATTCAACTGCTTATATTCTTTCATGTACATCCCTCTTTGGAACTTAACATGATATTTTTACAGGAATTCATAGTCAAATAAGAGAATGAAACTAATCAATAAGAGGACCAAGAAATGAGCAACCTGAAGAACCAAAAGAACTGCCACTTGAGGCTGGTGGTGATTATTGTTCTCAATTACCCCACTGCCTCCCTCAGCCCTATGTCCTCGAAGTGCACTCGAGTGGGCAGAGTGTGCTTGCCCACCGACTGATGTTGAGGTTGGCCATGAAACTTGCTTTAGCCAGTGCTATGTTAGTAGATGGGATATTCCAACAGTCTGGCTTGGCCTCTTGAGCTCCCAAGAGGAAAAAAAAAAATGCCTCAGGTAGTCGCTGGCCCAAGGAGAATGTGGAAACACATGGCGCAGACCGGAACTCAACCCAGAGCTCAGAGCCGAGCCTTGAGAAGTAGAGCCACCCTCCCCGACCACCGGACCAAAAAACATGGTTCCACGATTGGACCAAAATCAAGTTTTATAATTCTCTCCCATTTTAGGTAGATTCCAGTAACACTTGTTCAACCAAACACAAATTCAGTTGTTTGTGACTTTGCCACCATTCCCTGAGCTGGCCTGGGGGAGAAGCAAAGGTACAAACTGCACAGTTCTGGAAATAGGAGGACAGCTTTCCCCAGAAATGCAAAAACCATTCTCAAGTGACCCTCATACCAGCCATGTACAGGAAACCTGGCATGCCAACATTTCTGACTACCTACTGATTTCCAGAACCTTTATCATTTCATGTAATCCTATAACTTCCCTATAAAGAGCTAGGATTCCCATTTTTTTTTTCAAAGAAAACATGTTAGCTCAGTTCAATAATCTCCTTAAGGTCATGGTTTTAGTTTTCCATGCTGCATAACAAATATCTACAAACTTATAAGCTTAAAACCAAACGAATTTATTATCTCATTTCCATGAGTCAAGAATCCAGGCACAGGGATGCCTGGGTGGCTCAGTCAGTTAAGCATCTGCCTTCGGCTCAGGTCACGATCCCTGGGCCCTGGGATCAAGTCCCGCATCGGGCTCCTTGCTCAGCAGAGAGTCTGCTTCTCCCTCTTCCTCTACAGCTCCCCCTGCTTGTGCTCTCTCTCTCTGACAAATAAATAAAATCTTATATTAAAAAAAAGAATCTAGGCACAGCTTACTCTACTCAGGGTTTCAAAAGGCTGCAATCAAGGTGTTGGCTGGGCTGTGGTTTCGTCTGAAGTTCAGGGTCTTCTTCCAACCTCATACAAGAGGTTTGCAGAATCAGCTCCTTGCAGCTGTTGGACCAAGGTTCCCATTTTCTTGCTGGCCATCAGCCAGGCACTGCTATCTACTCGTAGAGAAACCAGTTCCCCACCCAAAAGCAGTTCACAGCATGATGCTTGCTTTCTTCCAGGCCAGGAGGGGCGTTTCTCTGATTTCTAGTCTGTCTTCACTCCGCTCTGATGGAGTCTTACATAAGTATAGCATAATCACAAGACTCTCCCAATACCACTTGCCATATGAGATAACCCAACCACTGAAGCAACCCTCATATTTACAGGTTCCACACACACTCAAGAGAAGGGGGTAAAATATGAGGAATTCTTAATCTCAGGAAACAAACAGAGGGTTGCTAGAGTGGTGGGGGGTGGGAGGCATGGGCTGCCTGGGTGATAGACATTGGGAAGGGTATGTGCTATGGTGAGCGCTGTGAATTGTGTAAGACTGTTGAATCACAGACCTGTACCTCTGAAACAAATAATACATTATATGTTAAAAAAAGAAGATAGCAGGAGGGGAAGAATGAAGGGGGGGGAATCGGAAGGGGAGACGAACCATGAGAGACTATGGACTCTGAAAAACAAACTGAGGGTTCTAGAGGGGAGGAGGGTAGGGGGATGGGTTAGCCTGGTGATGGGTATTAAGGAGGGCACGTTCTGCGTGGAGCACTGGGTGTTATATGCAAACAATGAATCATGGAACACTACATCAAAAACTAATGATGTAATGTATGGTGATTAACATAATAATAAAAATAAATAAATAAAAATTTTAAAAAGAGTAGGGGGTAATATAAGGTATAACTTTTTTTTTTAAAAGAATAGATGATTATCTTGTTACTGCTTTTATTCTCACTTATAATATTCAAAAATAAATTATATTTTAGAAGCCAAGATATATTTCCAATCAGAAACTTTCAATTGTCCTCTAGAATATAATACTTTATGGCTAGAAGGTAAATGTAACCCCACAGAACTTTCCGTCGCAGTAGCAATCTTTTAAGGACCTTCTAAAAATTCAAAGGACAATACATGAATGTCATCCTTTTTGGTTTTATAAAGAGGTTTATAACAGTAAGGGACAAGAGGTTCATTTTTTTTTTTCTGAGTTTATTTTAAAAGGTCATTTTACTTAAAAAAAAATCAGAAAGCACAATAATATGAACACACTAAATAAAAAATAGCCTAGAAAATGTCTTATGCAAGAAGGTCAGGGTAATTGAATTCACTTCTGACAAAAAAAGAAAAAAAGTCCTCCTCAAACTACCTCACATATTAAAATGGTTTTCTTGGAGTACCAAGGTGGCTCAATCAGTTAAGCATCTGACTCTTGATTTCAGTTCAGGTCATGATCTCAGGTTTGTGAGACTGAGCCCCATGTCAGGCTCTGTACTCAGTGCGGAGTCTGCTTGGGGATTCTCTCTCTCCCTCTTTCTCTGCCCCCTCCCCCTAAAAAAAATAAATAAAATGGTTTTCTTGTTCCATGCAACAGTTGAGAAGCACACTATTCCATACTAATAGAACTCAGAAATGTTCAAAGCAAAATTAAAAGCAAAATATGCAGCTAATTCTTTAAGATATAAAGCTTTACAGGAAAATGTGCTTTTTATAATCTAAGACATAACAAATTATCTCTGTACTCTCTACAAATTGAGTGAGTCTGTCTGAACACCTGTTGTCATTTATATCCAACCACATGGTGGGGAGAGATAGCTCTGGACTTGGGATCAGAAGATCTGAGTTTCAGCTCAGTTCAGCCTTCCAGTCTTGTCACTTCAAAAATAGAGCAAGGTTTATCACCCGCACCCTCCCTGGCATGCTTCTCCCTCAACAGCAGTCAATGACCTTGCGTTTTGTTCCCTCAGGACATCCTTCATGACTTCAAGGCCAAATAAGTCACAAGTAAAGGAATATGTGCCTCCAAGGTAAGAATCTTCTATGTAGGGATGCCTGGGTGGCTCAGTTGGTTAAGCATCTGACTTTGGCTCGGGTCATAACCCCAGGACCCTGGGATAGAGTCCTGCATCGGACTCCCTGCTCAGTGGGGAGCCTGCTTCTCCCTCTGCCTGCCGCTCCCCCTGTTTGTGCTCTGTCAAATAAATAAATCTTTAAAAAAAACAAAAAACAAAAAAAAAGAATCTTCTACATAACCTACCAACTGTCAGAGCTTCCCACTTAAAGCTCAGCCTCTAAAGCCGTAAAAAGCAAAGCGTTAAAGATCCGTAAGTAGCACTCAAATAGATTTTAACTTTCAAAGGACAATGATAAAAGGTTATTATAATTACCAGTATGAAAGTAAATAGTAGTACTGTTATATATGGATATAAAATAAATAGCCCAAAATAATGAAATTTACAGAAATACCCCTGAGAAATGTACCAGGTATATATAATAATTTTTTTAAAGATTTTATTTATTTTACAGAGAGAGAGAGGGAACACAAGCAGGGGGGAGTGGGAGAGGGAGAAGCAGGCTTCCCGCGGAGCAGGGAGCCCGATGTGGGGCTCGATCCCAGGACCCTGGGATCATGACCCGAGCGGAAGGCAGATGCTTAACGACTGGGCCAGCCAGGCGCCCCAGATATATATATTTTTAAAAAACTAACAAAGCTGTATGAGATAGGAAATGCCTAAATAACTGGAGACATAACGTGTTCTTGATGTGAAGACTATTACAAAGATTCCTTCCAAAATAATTCTTAGGGGGGGCGCCTGGGTGGCTCAGTCGGTTAAGCGGCTACCTTCGGCTCAGGTCATGATCCCAGAGTCCCGGGATCGGGCCCCGCATCGGGCTCCCTGCTCAGCGGGGAGCCTGCTTCTCCCTCTCCCACTCCCCCTGCTTGTGTTCCTGCTCTCGCTCTCCCTCTCTCTGTCAAATAAATAAAATCTTAAAAACAAAAACAAAAACAAAATAATTCTTAGGCTTAACAAAATCTCTACTTTTTTTAACATTGATAGGAGGCCACTTAATAAAAGTACTCTAATGTTCCTATGAATAAATAAACCAAAGAAAATAGCCAAGATACTTTTAAAATAGGAGGTATTTATATTGGTGTGTATTAAAATGCATTACAAAATTTAGTAAAAGTAAAAAATAAAACTGTACTAGTTAAAATATAATGTTGTACTTATAAGAATGAAGAAGTAGCCTCTCTCTTTTTCGCCGCCATCCTGCTCTGCGTGGCTGACTGCTTCTCGCCATGTCTTCTCACAAGACTTTCAGAATCAAGCGATTCCTGGCCAAGAAACAAAAGCAGAATCGTCCCATTCCCCAGTGGATTCGGATGAAAACCGGTAATAAGATCAGGTACAACTCCAAAAGGAGACACTGGAGAAGAACCAAGCTGGGTCTGTAAGGCGTCACACGTCATGAGATGACACACCTAATTGGCATACATATTTAATTAAGCTGCGTGAAGATCATGTGTTCTATCATTCTGTAAACATCCTTCCTACCTGGCCATAGACTCGTCTTATCATGGAAATGATTTTTCGCTCTGACTATGCCTCTGCACCAGTAGGTTGGTTCAGTAATAAATGTGAGACCTCTCGGCTCTACTACTGTTGTGTTTCTGATTTGCGAAGTACTGAATTCCCCACCTGTCAGATCATGCACAGCACTGTCAGAACTTCCTGCAGTGATAGAAATGTCCCTTGACAACCAAGTATGTAAAGTGTGGCTAGGGGGTGCCTGGGTGGCTCAGTGCCTTAGGCCCAGGTCATGATCTTAGGGTCCTGGGATCGGGCTCCCCAGTGAGCAGGGTATCTGCTTGCCCCTCCCCTGGCTCCAGCTCTCTGTTCTCAAATAAATAAAATCTTAAAAAAAAAAAAAAAAAGAATGAAGAACTAGGTGAACAGAACAGAATAAAACAATATATATAAGAATTTAATATATATCATAGAAAAAAGTTAATGAACACATGAAAAGATGCTCAAAAAGATCAGTAATCAGGGAAACTCAAATTAAAACCACAACGAGACACAATTATATACCCAATAGAATATTTAAAATTAAAAAGGCTGACAATATCAAGGATTTTTACAAGGATGCAGAGCAACTGGAAGTCTCATATATTATTGTTGAGAATACAACATGGTTCAACTACTTTGGAAACAGTTTGCTGGTTTCTTAAAAAATTAAACATATGCTTATCCTACAACCAGCAATTTTACTCCTAGGTATTTCCCCAAGAGAAACAAAAATATAGGTCTACGGAGAGAGATATGCATGAATGTTCACAGAAGTTTTATTCAAAATAGCACAAAGCTGGAAACACTCCAAATGAATAAACTATGGTATGTCTATATATTGGAATAATACCCAGTAACAAAACGAAATGAACCACTGGTACATACAATAACATAGATAAATCTTAAAAGCATCATAAGTGAAAGAAGCGACACACAGATGGTTACATACCTTATGATTCAATTCTATGATATTCTAGCAAAAGGCAAAACTATAGGGAAAGAAAATAGATCAACGGCTACCAGGCCTTGGGAGGTTGGGGGGAAACTGGCTGCAATGAGCCTGCAGGAACTTTTTGGGCTGATGCTAACAGTCCAGATCTTAATTATGGTGGTAAATGGCTACATGCATTATCAAAATTCATAAAACTATACAATTAAAATAGAGGAATTTTACTATATGTAAATTATAGCTCAAATTCAACTAAAAAAATAAGCTCCCCTATTTTAAAAAAAGTTAATGAAAATGAATAGATTTAATAAAACAATGTGGAGAAAATTGACTAAGAAAAACATTTAATTTTTTCCTTTTTAGTTTTATTGAAGTATAATTAACATACAATGTTATATTAGCTTCAGGTGTATAATTTTTTTTTTTTTAACCAGAAGATGGGTTTATTTGGGAATAAAAGAGAATTACAATCCAGGACAAACAAGCTGTGGTAAAACTATAGGCAAGTCTGGGTAACAAAAGCTCAGGTGTATAACATGTTGATTGAACAATTGTATACATTACTCAGTGCACACCATGTAAGTGTATTCCTCATCTGTCACCTTACGACGTTTTTACGATATTATTAATTACATTCCATATGCTGTACTTTTTATCTCTATGACTTATTTTATAACTGGACGTTTGTACCTCTTAATTCCCTTTTTTCACCCATCCCCCACCACACCCCCCTCTGGTAACCACCAGTTTGTTCTCTGTATTTGAAAGTCTGTTGGGGGGGGAGGGGTTGTTTCTTTGCTCATTTGCTTTATTTTTAGATTCTATATGTAAGTGAAATCACATGGTACTGGGATGCCTGGGTGGCTCAGTTGGTTAAGCATTTGCCTTCAGCTCAGGTCATGATCCCAGGGTCTTGGGATCGAGTCCCGCATCAGGGTCCTTGCTCAGCAGGGAACCTGCTTCTCCCTATGCCTCCTGCTCTCCCTGCTGGTGCTCACACACTCTCTCTTGCTCTCTGACAAATAAATAAAAATCTTAAAAAAAAAAAAAAGAAATCACATGGTATTTGTCTTTCTATGTCTTAGTTCACTTAGCATTATACCTTCTAAGTCCATCCATGTTGCTGCAAATGGCAAGATCTCATCCTTTTTATGGCTGAGTAATATTCCATTGTATGTGTAACTTCTTTATCCATTCATCTATTGATGGATACCCAGATTGTTACCATATCTTGGCTATTGTAAATAATGCTGCAATAAACACAGGAGTGCACATCTCTTTTTGAATGAGTGTTTTTGTTCTCTCTGGATAAATATCCAGGAGTGGAATTATTAGATCATATGACAATCCTATTTTTAATGTTTCGAGGAACCTCCATACTGTTTTCCCCACAGCAGCTGCACCAATTTACATTCCCACCAATAGTACATGAGAGTTCCCTTTCTCCACAACCTCACCAACACTTGTTATTTCTTGTGGGTTTTATTTTAGCCATTCTGACTGGTGTGAGGTGATATCTCACAGTGGTTTCGATTTGCATTTCCCTGATGATTAGTGATATTGAGCATCTTTTTACTAGTCTGTTGACCATCTGTATGCCTTCTTTGGAAAAATGTCTATTCAGGTCCTCTGCCCATTTTCTAATTGAATTACTATTAATTTTTGGTGTTGAGTTGTAGAAGTTCTTTATAGATTTTGGATAATAACCCCTTAATGGATATATCATTGAAAATACCTTCTCCCATTCAGCAGATTGACTTTTTGTTTTGTTGATGGTTTCCTTCACTGGGCAAAAGCTTAGTATTTGGGTGTAGTCCCAACAGTTTATTTTTGCTTTTGTTTCCCTTGCCTCAGGAGACATACCTAGAAAAATGTTGCTAAGGCTGTTGTCAGAGATATTACTGCCTATACTTTCTTCTAGGAGTTTTATGTATCACATTTTAGGTCTTAAATCCATTTTTACTTTATCTTTGTATATGGTATGAGAAAATCGTCTAGTTTCATCCTTTTGCATGTAGCTGCCCAGTTTTCCCAGCACCATTTATTGAGGAGCTATTTTTCCCCATTGCACATTCTTGCCTCTTCTGTTGATGATTCATTGACCATATAATCATGGTTTATTTCTGGGCTCTCTACTCTGTTCCATCAGTCTATGCATCTATTTTTGTGCCAGTACCATACTGTTTTGATTACTATAGGTAGGTAGTATATCTTGAAATCTGGAATTATGATACCTCCAGCTTTAGTCTTTCTCAAGATTGCTTTCGTTACTCAGGGTCTTTCATACCAATTTCAGTATTATTTGTTCTAGCTCTGTGAAAGATGCTGTTGGTATTTTGATAGGGAATCCACTGAATCCATGGATTACTTTGGGTAGTATGGACACTATCAATATTTGTTCTTTCAATCCATGAGCATGGGATATCTTTCCATTTGCTTATGTCATCTTCAGTTTCTTTCATCAGTGTATTATAGTTTTCAGAGTACAGGTCTTTCACCTCCTTGGTTAAGTTTATTCCTTGGTATTTTATTATTTTTGGTGCAATTGTAAATGGGATGGTTTTCTTCATTTCTTTCTGCTACTTCATTATTAGTGTATAGAAATGCAACAGATTTCCATACATTAATTTTGTATCCTGAAACTTTAATTCACTTTTCAGTTCTACTGGTTTTTGGTGGAATCTTTATGGTTTTCTACATATAATATGTCATCCACAAATAGTGAAAAGTTTTACTTTTTCCTTACAAAATTTGGATGCCTTTTATTTGTTGTCTTGTGTGATTGCTGTGGCTAGAACTTCCAGCACTATGTTGAATAAAAGTGGTGAGAGTGGACATCCTTGTCTTGTTCCTGATCTTAAAGGAAAAGCTCTCAGTTTTTCACCACTGAGTACGATGTTAGCTTTGGGTTTTTCATATATGGTTTTTATTATGTTGAGATATCCTCTGTCTAAACCTCCTTTGTTGAGAGTTTTTATTATGAATAATGACAATATGATAAATACATTTCATTCTTACTTCATTCAATATGCAGAAAGAATTGGGTGGCCATTTTCAGTTACTGCAACATATTTTATATCAGAGGATGCCAAAAATATGAAGAGTCCAAAGAAACAATCATTTACATAGTAAGCAATTGTAAAAGCACTCACTCTTTCCCTTCTGCACACTTAGAATGTGACCTTTCTTTCCCCTTTCCCAATAGTTTCTTGGCTCATGCATTAGGAAGGAATGACATGCGGAAAGCAGAGGAAACTCCCTTGTCATTGTAATCAGCCATAGTCTAAGAGTTCAAAGATATTTTAGGAAGAGATTTTTTTCCCAACAGCAGATAAAAAGGATCCTTTTCAAAGGATATAGTTAGTTGTATTGGGTCAAGATTTCCTTAAGGAATAAAATTCTGGAATCTCAACAAGATAGAGAATTGTCATGTCAAGAGTTCAGTTCTAAATTTTAGAAATCTGAATTTTTCTTGCTATATAATAGCAGGGAAGTAGGCCTGGCCTTATAATTATAAGAAAAATATTAAAGCACTAAAAAAGTTAAATACAGAATGAAAAGTTTTACATATAAATTACAAATAAGCAAATAATACAACTTATGTTTTGATAATATTTGATGACATAGGCCTCCTTTATCTGTGATTTTTTTTTCAATAAAATTAAGTTTGGAAATGACAGAGGGCCCTGATTCACCCAACTATGAAGATTTTAGAGAATGTGGGTTTAAATATTAGAAGAAAAATACAAAGGAAAAGATGTTGATATCTCAATACAGAAGAGTTAAAAGAAAAACTAGAATATCTTTAAATTTGCATGTTTATAAATGACTGAATATTTTCACATAGCCAACTTCATTTTTTTATTTTTATTTTTTTAAAGATTTTATTTATTTACCTATTTATTGAGAGAGAGTGTGTGGGAGTTGGAGGAGAGGCACAGGGAGAGGCAGAAAGAGAATCTCAAGCAGACTCCCCACTGAGCATGGAGCCTGACACAGGGCTCAAACCCATGACCCTGAGATCATGACCTGAGCCAAAATCAAGAGTCTGACACTAAGCCAACTGAACCACCCAGGTGCCCCCATTTCATCTTTAGAACAATTCTGTATCTCCATTTCACTGAAGAGGAAACAGGCTAGGAGGTAAAGTCATAGAGCTACTAAGTGGAAGATCCAGGAAAAATAGGTGGTCCTCCATACAGGTTGAATTTCAGGGGATCTGCAGGAAGGTAACTCTTAACTACTAACTTTCTACCCTTCACCATCCTCTAGATTCTATCAGGAGCCATCCCACCATCATGACTCTTATGCATGCCAAATATTAAACATAAGTCAAAGGAAGAAACAATCTTTGTAATTCCTAACGAGCACATTTTTCCCAAGCTTTATCTTCACAAGGGTTGTAACTAGGGACTTCTGAGGAAGATGGCAGAATAGGAAGATCTTAAGCTCACCTCATCCCATGGATACAACTAGATAACACCCCATCAGTGTAAATAACCCAGAAAATGACCCAAAGACTTGCAGAACAGACTCTCCACAGATAAATGTAGAGAAGAGGCCACACTGAAGAGGGTAGGGTGAAAAGGTAGTTGGGAGCTGCCTATGCAGACAGACCTATGGGACCGTCCACGGGAGGGAGGGACCTGCAGGCTTGGAGAGGGAAGAGGAATAGACTATCACACCAAGTACCCCAAGTATGGGGAACTCACACAGGTAAGATGAATTCCCATAACATTTGGCTTTGAAAACCAGAGGGGGATAATTTTATGAGTTCTTATAATGAACAGGGCTGAACAGGTGGAACTTTAAAAATCAGCAGGCTTGGCTCTGAGAGAGCTAGGAAGGCAAGAAGAAACAGTCTCTGCCCTTAAAGAGATAGTACAACAAACAGCCCCATGGAGATAACAGCATAGAAGCAGCAGTTTGAAAAATGCCTGGGGTATACGGGAGGGAAATTTGTTCACTAATCTCAGAGTATGTGCTGGAGGGACAGGAATCATTGGCAGACTTCTCCAGGAGCAAAGGAGCTGGTGTGTGCCCTTTCCCTGCCTCGCACCCCCCAGGTCTGTTTAGCTCGTTGATCTAACTCAACTCAAGCCCAAGGCGGCCCCAGATTCGCCTATTAACAATGCAGGGACCAAATCCTGCCCACAACAGACAAAGAGAGCCATTGCAGACAAATGGCCTAAGGCAAAAGCAGCTCAGCCACCATAGTAGGGTGCATACAACACATATAAGGTGACACCCCTGAAGCGCCAGGTCTGGTGAACAGGGGACACTGCACTGCAGGGCACTAGAGAACCTCTTCTTCATAAGGCCACTACTTACAAAATCAGGAGACAGAGCTTACTTTCCTAACACACAGAAACAGACACAGAGGGTGCCTGGGTGGCTCAATTGGTTAAGTGACTGCCTTTGGCTCACATGATCCTGGAGTCCTGGGATCGAGTCCCACATCGGGCTCCTGGCTCAGTGGGGAGCCTGCTTCTCCCTCTGACCCTCTCCCCTCTCATGCTGTTTCTCTCTCTCTCTCTCTCTCTCTCTCTCTCTCAAATAAATAAATAAAATCTTTAAAAAAGAAAGAAAGAAACAGACACAGAGCTAGACAAAATGAGGAGTCAGAGGAACATGTTCCAAATGAAAGAACAGAACAAAAGCAGAGCAAGAGACCTAAATGAAACAGATAAGAAATTCTCTATCAGGCATGTTACTTATTTATTTTTAAAGATTTTATTTATTTACCTGTGAGAGAGAGAGAGAGAGAGAGAGAGAGCATAAGAGGGTCAGAGGGCGAAGCAGTCTCCCCGCTAAGCAGAGAGCCCGATGCAGGGCTCGATCCCAGGACTGCAGGATCATGATCTAGACCGAAGGCAGATGCTTAATGCACTGAGCCACCCAAGTGCCCCACCTGATAGAGAATTTAAAGCAACAGTCATAAAGATACTCACTGGATTGGAGAAAAGAGTGGAGGACCTCAGTGAAACTCCTAACAAAGAAATATAAAACATAAAAAAGAATGAATCAGAGATGAACAACTCAGTAACTAAAGGTAAAAATGCACTAGATGGAATAAATAGTACACTAGAAGAAACAGAAGAACAGATCAGCAACCTGGAGGACAGAGTAATGGAGAGCAATCAAGCTGAACAGGAGAGAGGGGAAAAAAAAAAAAAATGAAAACAGACTTAGGGAACTAAGTAACACCATCAAGCATAACATTTGCATTATAGGGGCCCCAGAAGGAGAAGAGAGGGAAAATGGGGCAGAAAATGTGTTTGAAGAGATAATAGCTGAAAATTTCCTGAATGTGGGGAAGGAAATAGAAATGCAGATCCAGGAGGCACAGAGAGCCCTCAACAAAATCAACCCAAGCAGGTCCACACCAAGACACATAATAATTAAAATGGCAAAAAGTAATGATAAAGAATTTTAAAAGCAGCAATAGAAAGGAGTTACATACAAGGGAACCCCCATAAGGCTGTCAACTGATCTTCCAGCAGAAACTTTGCAGGCCAGAAGAGAGTGGCATAATAAACTCCAAGAGCTGAAAGAAAAATACCTACAGCCAAGAATACTCTATCCAACAAGGCTATCATTCAGAATAGAAAGATAAAGAGTTTCCCACACAAACAAAAGTTACAGGAATTTATGACCACTAAACCAGCCCTACAGGAAATGTTAAAGGGGACCCTCTGAGTGGTAAAAGCATAAGCAGGAATAAGAAAGGTAGTAAGCATGAAAGTAAAATTAAATGTATCTATAAAAATCAGTCAAGGGATTCATAAAATAAAAGGATGTAAAGTATGACACCATATATTTAAAGTACAGCAGTGGAGAGGAGTAGGGGAGAGAAGTAAAGAATGGGTTCAAATTTAAGAGACCATCAACTTAACGTAAATTACTATATGCATAAGATGTTATATACAAACCTAATTAATGGTAACCACAAATCAAAAACCAGTAAAGAGATATACAAGAGTTGTAACTAGGTGTCTTTTCCCAAGAAGATGGTGATGGGTGATGGTGGAAAGAGATCCATTCAAGTTCTGGGGCTCTGGGGTAGAGATCCACAATTAAAGATAAGGTGCTTCACACTTGAAACAATCCATTCCACCATCCACCCCCTCCCCAAGCACACATGATCCTCTGAACTGCTCATCAAGTACTTTGTGTACCAAACAGGCCAATGGTGAAACTTCTGCCAGGTCATCTGCAAAATTATTTGAAAGCAAAAGTGTAAAGTTAAAGAAGCAGCTAACAATACTCTTGTACCTTGAATGCTTCTTTTAAAAAAGGCCTTACATCCTTCACAAGACCAGACTCCATAGTGATATCCAGATGCATAATCGCTGCAGACCGCACAGAAGTGAGCATCCCTCTTTGAACTTGGACTAGTAACAGGGCTGGCACAACTGCTCCCACTAACTTTCCTTTTCAGTGTCTCTCTGGGGGCAAAGAAAACATTCATTGTAAGACAGCATTAAGAGAAAAGATGGACTTTCTAGAAAAAAAATAGCATGAACACTGCATAATTTACCTCTTTGCCCTCCAGGGCTCATGATAAATATATTCCAGGAAATCTGATCAAGCACAACCTTTGTTGCTGATATCAGATCTATGAAGAGTCACACTATTGGGAATGACTGATGTTTGAAAGTGGTTCTGCAAGTCTATGCCCATCCATGCAGCACTGATGAGCACTAGTAACTACAGATGGCCAGCTGTAGCCATCAGGTTGCACATCTCTGAGTGTAATAAGTGACCAGAGTAAGTCTTACCTGCAGGTCTGAACCATGAGCAAGGTGTACAGTAGTCTTCCTTGGTTGCTAGAATTCGACACTGTATGGATGGGCCTAAATTTACCTAAACATTTTCAAGTATCAGTCATTCCCAAGTGTTGCTAAATAGCCCTTCAGAGTTCCCATTTAAATGGGGAACAAAATCTTTCATTCTGCAATGTAAGATGAAGGTCTAGAATGAAAATAACTTTAAGAGGAGTTACAAATGGACTTTAAGTTATATTGAAGTGAATACGATACTCTGGTTTAGAGAGATAGAGAAAGAGCAGGGAAGAGTAGGGAAGGGTAGAGAAGGGCAGGGAAGGGCAGAGAGAAGAAAAAGAAAAAGAGAAAGGAGAAGAGAGGGGAAGAAAGTGGACACATGCCTGTCCTTAGAGAAGGTTTTGATGGAAGCAGCTGCTCAGTGCTGGAGAGAGGGACAACAGCTCCCATAGAGGAAGGGACAGCCCATGAAGACAGCATTGGCAGACACAAAAGCACATGCGGTTAGTTCCTAATTTTGCTAGGCCATGTTTCTTTTGGAAAGGAAATGTTAGAGGTATGGTTTTAAATGAAGATAATGATACTATGGGTTAATTTACCCTAATATTAGCAGAACTCTGATTAGAGCTCATGCTCAGAAACAAAAGGTCTTTCCTTGAAGGCTGAGTGAAAAACAGTACTGTAAAAAAGTTATATACAATATTTATATTCTTTTACCAACAAAGTTTTTTAAAAAAGAAAAATAAAATTACTGTGTAATATGGCTTTCTCAAAGAGTTACGACAGCATTTGAAAGCAACAAATTTCAATATCCAATACACAATGACTTAATACTTTGGCGGTTCTAGAAATTTATCTCCTCCTCATCTTTCTCCCTACACAACCTCTTCCCTCCATAGCTATAATTATCATTAAGCACATTACAAATTAAATGGAAATAACCATCACGTTACCTTGCTTTTGAAGAGTACAAATACTCTTTTGAGCTTCAAGAAATTTCAACTAAAGTCTACAATTAAGTTTCCCATCAATCTTTAACAAATGTATTTTAGTTCACTGCTAAAAAGCTTATACCAATTACTGTCTGTCTTTTCAGGCTTTATATGTCCAGTGTATTTCATGTAAGTATTAATACTGCCACAGTTGCTTTTATCCTGGACACAATGTGTCATGAATGCTAAATTGTGATTTCACTACAAGAAGGATCTAACCTGAAAGCAAAAATATCTTTTTCAAACCCACATCACTTCATCAAGAGAAAAGTGATTTAATTTCAATATTTAACGTCTAAAAACAACAGTCATGATAGTGAATTCTCCCCACAACCCAGACCTAAAAGCTTACTTTTTAACGAGGATTAAAATATCAGAATAGATATTCTAGAATTCAGAATATCATATGTGTTAGGTGCTCTAAGTAATCTATGTGATGAATAAAGACCGCGAATAATGCATATCTTTCTTCTCACTAAATCATAGTGATTGATTTGAATAACACCCCTGAAGTAGAATTCATAATGAAGACTGAATTTACCTGTTTACAGGTAAGGTGGGTTCTAGTGATCTTGCTTCACACCAAGGACTCTTTTGAGGTTCTGCATACAGAAGTGACGACTGGCAATGGATTGCTAAGGGAGAGAGGTGTCCAGGAGTTGGCCACAACACATTTGGGCTTGTGTTCTGTCGACCGGGTCCACCTTCTGAGTTATTGGCACTGCTGGGAATACTGTAATTCATCACAGCAGGGTTATAGAACGTCATGGCAGAATATTCATGGTGGCTCTCTACATAGGAGGAAGGTATATATATGGGGCCGTGCTCCACGGGTAGGACAGATTGACTGCAGTTGTAGGAAGCCGGAGAGCTAAGGCTAGATGGTGAGTTTTTGATATCCATGTCTTGAACAGGTAACAGCTGAGGAAACTCTTTGTGAGAAGAGGCACAAAGGGACATTATAATGTTCTCAAAGACTCATGGGCAGGTATGATGGCTGTAGAGAAAAACAAAAGACATTCCTAAGTTAGAGCTACAGGCCTAACTATTCAAAATGTCCAAACATATTTATTACTTACACACACACACAGCTTAGAAACACATCCTGACTCAAAAATATTAACCTCAGGGAGTGTGAATGGGAGGCATGGAACTCTCATTTGCTACTTTATTCACTTCTTTATTGCTTTTGTTGTTAGCTACAAGAATTGTTTTTTAACCACAAGGATTTAGTATACTTTTAAAAATTAAAAAATGCAGGATGATCTTAAAATGCCAAGGCTTTTTTTCTTCCGGAACTAGATAAGTTTAAAGTTCTTATGGAAAAGTAAACAAGAATAACCAAAGAAACCTTGAAAGAGTAGGTCAGTGAGCAGGGACAGCATTAACAGATATTCAAATACACGACGAGTCACCAGTAATAAAACACAAGGCCAACGTGTCACTTAACAATTTATTGCTTCTCGCACCCTTCAATATATAGCCTATTTGGTAAACGCTGGCTTGGCTCTGCCTAGTTAAAGTGAGCACAATGCTAAGCGTTCTTGGTAGGGGGCGCTGCAGGGACACCAAAGGAGAAAGAGGCCACTGTAATTTCCGGCGCCCGCAGAGGTCCGCAGTGTGTGGGGGTGAGAACAGCCAGGGAGTCTGGCCCCGCCACGGGTCCAGAATGGGGTCCGTCTGCAACCTTGCAGCGTCGGTGCGCGGATAACCTTTCCACGGCCACCTGTCCGAACTGTGGCCCGACGAGTCACAAAGAAGTCGTTCCTTGTACTCCTCACCTCGCGCTACCTGCACACTGTGAAGGCCTTCTGTCCCCCACCTCCCCTCACCCCGCAGGCACCTGGACTCCCAGGGCACAACCATGCCACCAGTTGCTGATCGCCTGGTCCGCCGCTGCACCCCGGAGGCAGTCCTGTTGCCTGCCAAACAACCCTAGAGCAGCTCTGGCCTGGCTAAACCAGCAAAATCTCTGCTAATTAGTGGCCCATCCACCTTTCCCAGGGAGGTCTGACCCCCTTCCAAATTTGTCCTTCCTTGGATGCTCTCCCCCTCAGCCCTAGTTTACTTATATATTATACTTAATCTCTTATCATAGTTTTTTTTTTTTTTTTAAGATTTTATTTGAGGGAGAGAGAGAGGGAGAAAGAACAAGCAGGGGGAGGAGGAGAAGCAGGCTCCCCACTGAGCAGGGAGCCGGCTGCAGGACCTGAGCTGAAGGCAGATGCTTAACCAACTGAGCCACCCAGGCGCCCCCATGGTTATTCTTTATATTAAAACTCCCCTGTTGAACTGACTGTGTAGTTTCCATCTCCTGATTGGACCCAGACTGCTACATAACAGAAAATCCCAAAATAGAAAATTCAAGAACTCAGAAGTTTTTTGAAATTTGGCTTATGATAAAGGTGATATCTCAAATCACGGAGAAAACACTGGACAGTAGAATGGCCACTGGAAAAAGAACCTATGCCAGAATAAACTCCAAAGGGTTCAGAGATCCAAATGTTAAAAGAGAAATGGAAGGAGGAAGGAGAGGGAGGGAAAAGGGGGAGGAGGTTGAGGGAGAGAGCGGGCTCTGCACAAATCCTAGAAGCAAACTCAGATAAACTTCTTTATAACATGGGTGTGGGAAAAACCTTCCTAACTATAGCTTAAAATCCACATGCAATAAATTCAGAACAGAAAAGGAAATCTTTGCACATCATAAAAACACCATAAGCAAAGTCAAAAAAGACTAATGACAAATTGGGGGGAAAAAACACTCCCAACTTCTACGAGAAGCAAGGGCTAATTGTCCTAGTATTTAGAACTCTTAAAATGAAAAAAAGATAAAAAATTATTTAGATAGGGACACCTGGGTGGCTCAGTCAGTTAGGTGTCTGCCTTTGGCTCAGGTCATGATCCCAGGGTCCTGGGACTGAGTCCCACATCGGGCTCCTTGCTCAGTGGGGGGTCTGCATCTCCCTCTGCCTGCTGCTCCCTGCCTCCCCACCGGCTTGTGCTCTCTCTTTCTCCCTGACAAATGAATAAAATAAAATCTTTTAAAAAATTCTTTTAATTCTTTAAATAGGCAAAAGACATAGAACACAGAAAAAGGAAGGCAAATGGCTCTTAAAACACAAAGATGATCAACCTCATTCACAAAAATTAAAACTACACCAAGATACCATTTTCTCACATTTGGCAAAAATTCAAATGTTTGACAAGAGACTTCCTTTGTGAGGCTGTGGAAAAACAGACTTTCTCTGATGTTGGTGGGAGTACAAAATGGCACAATGCATATCTGGCATTATATAGAGATTTTATATGTGTTACCTTTGGACTATGAGTCCATAGTGAGAAAGAAAGGAAAGAAGGAAGGAAGAGAAAAAAGAAAAGAAAAGAAGAGAGGAAAGAAAAAAGAATCATTGGCTCCCATTGCAAGTGATTGTTACATCAGTTCCTCACTCTGAAAATTAGTAATTAAGGGAAAAGAATCAAGTCTGTATCCTGCCTTTTTGAGAGATTCTGTAGTTTATGCCATGGTTGAGGGCAAACTTCTTTACAAAAGAATGCCATCCAATAAATAGTTCAGGAAAAAAATACTTGGATGGATAAACTGGATAGTTAGAACAAATAAAAATGTTAACAATTACTGAATCTAGATGTGGACATAACAGACATTCATTATACCAGTCTTTCAACTCTTCTGCAAGTTTAACATTTTTCATAAGAAGCTTTGTAGGAAAGACACAAAATACAAGAAATTACAAATGTAAACCTTCAAAAAAAAAGAATAACTGGATAATATAATCTGGAAAACGGAAGAATGCCCATTAATGACTAGACTGGTTGAGAAAGATCATTAAATAAAGAAGCTTACCTTGAGAAGTTCTCCATCTTTGATATTTTCACCTACTTCTACATGTAGGCAACTTGGCTCTCTAAATGCTCCTGATTACTTTCTCCTGACATTTTCATTTGAATGCTCATTTCAATTTGTCCTCAAAACAATATACCTACGGTGATTTTAAAATATGTCCACAAATTTTTCAACATTCCTCCCTTCAAAAGGTGGAGTCTAACCTCCCCTTGCATATGTGCTAGATTTATGACTTATTTTTAATGAATAAATTATGGCAGAAGGGATGGTATATGGCTTCCATGACTAGGTCATAAAAGGCAATGCAGTCTCTTCCTGGCTTGCTCCCTTGGGTCACTCACTCCAGGGGAAATTAGCTGCCACATTGTGAGGACTCAAGCAGCCTTATGGAGGCCTCCTGCCAATAGCCAGCAAAGAACTAGAGCCTTCAGCCAACAGCTCTGTGAGATATTTTGGAAACGGATCCTCCAGCCCCAGTCAAGCCTTCAGATGACTGCAGCCCTGGACATCTTAACTGCAACCTCATGAGAGGAGCTAAGCTGGAACCTTCCAGCTAAGCTACTCCTGGATTCCTGACCCTCAGAAAATGTGTGTGAGATATTGTTTGTTATTTAAGCTGCTCAGTTCTATGATTTGCTACACAGCAGTAGATAATACAAATCCAAGGTAAAATTAATCATTTTCCTCCTCAAAACCAATCCTAATTTCCTATTTGTTAATGACAAAGTGCAATACACTTAGCTTTGACTTCTCTGCTGCATCCAATTACCTTAAATCACCAGAGTACACTTTTTTTTTCTCCATAGTGCGTTTTCCTCGTGGTCTGTCTTTTGCCACCATCTGAGCAAGCTCTCATTACTTCTTATCTGTGCATCTGTAATAGGCCCCTTACCACTCCTTGTCTCTGGTGAGCTCCTTCTCTGGGTCTATAGAGCTGCCAGACTAACTTTTTTTTTTTTTTTTAAGATTTACTTATTTGAGAGAGAGAGAGGCGCACGTGGCATGCACGTGAGGTGGGGGTGGGGAGGTGCAGAGGGAGAGAGAAGCCCAAGTAGACGCCACACTGAGCATCGAGTCTGATGCAGAGCCCAACACAGGGCTTGAGCCCATGATCCTGAGATCACGACCTGAGCTGAAACCAAGAGACAGAAGCTTTAACAACTGCACCACCCCAGGTGCCCCCAGACTAACATTCCTTTTTTTTTTTTTTTTTAAGATTTTATTTATTTATTTGACAGAGAGAGATAGCGAGAGCAGGAACACAAGCAGGGGGAGTGGGAGAGGGAAAAGCAAGCTTCCCACTGAGCAAGGAGCCTGATGCAGGGCTTGATCCCAGGACCCTGGGATCATGACCTAAGCCGAAGGCAGACGCTTAACGACCGAGGCACTCAGGCGCCCCCAGACTAACATTCTTAAAACCCAGCTCTGATCACCCCTCTAGGTCCCACCAGCCTATGTAATAAGTCACACTCTTCTAACATCCAAGGCATTCCACTCTGCTGCCCCAACCCATCATCCCACTCTAATCTGCTATTTTCCTACAGAAGACCTGCCATGTCCATAAGGAATATACAAAGTGCATCGTGAGGGCGCCTGGGTGGCTCAGATGGTTAAGCGTCTGCCTTCGGCTCAGGTCATGATCCCAGGGTCCTGGGATCAAGTCCCGCATCGGGCTCCCTGCTTCTTGGGAGCCTGCTTCTCCCTCTGCTTCTCTCTCTCTCTCTCCCTCTCTCTCTCTCCTCTGTCTCTCATGAATAAATAAATAAAATCTTTAAAAAAAAAAAGTGCATCGTGAAGTGGTTGGTGTTTTATGCCTTAGCATCCCTATAATTACTTACAAACTTAATCCTCCTTACTAGAATAGAATTCCATTGAGTCATTCTTGTAAAAGGATAGAAGGATGATTAGATTTTAAGCTCCTAGAAGGCACACACTATTTTTATTCATCTTCTACTACAACTCAATAATTATTTGTTATAATGAAAGAATGAGGAAATGTGTTTATAAGATTTCACCCAATCAAGGGTGTTAGTCAAAGATGGGAGCACCTTCAGTAGGTATGGTACTATGTGGAGACAGGAGATCTAAAGGAGTCCCAAGACATGCACTCT